GCGGGGCCTACCGGTAACGCGTAACCGAGCGACGGTGGCCTTCGAGTCTACGATCCGTAAGGCTTCTGTAAGGCAAGGCGATCTCATCTTGTGTCGCCTTAACGATGGAGAAGATGCCATGGGATTGGCCACCACTGATGGCTTACGGACTGGCACTATTCACGTCATGGAGCTGATGGAATCTCCATCGGGGATGTGTCAGCCGGTGTGGTTGGATCCTGCATCTGGTACTTATTCCTTTTCTTCAATGTGTCCATCTGGGGCCATAGCGGTGCTACGAGAAGTAGACAAAGTGCTTCTGCGTCTGTCTCGCACGGAAACGGGACGACTGCGTCAACAGAGTCGTCGCGAGTTGGTTGAAGCCGGCTATCTTGAAGCGTGAGAAACGCGGAAAGGGGGGGAGTCTGTCACCCTGAGGCATGACTTTCCTCATTTCTCACCACCCCATTTTTCCATAGCGGGTTTACGCTATAGATGGTGACGCGTGGGACGCGAGTCGGCGTCGTAAAACGCGCGTACGCCATCGATTATTTTCTTTGAGACGAGACGGCTTTAGGATGAGAACTCCTATTCGCCTGTCTCCATATTTCGATAGAGCTATCAAACCGTATTGACTGTTGTAGTCCTTGTCACACGCTTTCTAATGAGCGGTATTGGACCTTACTTTACAGCTCATCAACCTACATTGGAAACTTCAGACTTGAGTTCAGAGTCGCGGATGACAGTGGCGGTCAGCAGAGGCTCTATTACTGGCCTGGGCCACCAGAGCGGGAGTGTTTTATGAGCCGGCTAAAAGCCAAGCACTCCTGCCTAGGACCATTGGGGACCATATCTTGTCTTTCGATGGCACACCCATCGACATCGTCAAAGTCGTTCGGGTGCTTGGCGTTTGGATTGACCATCGCTTGTCTTTCCAGCACCATATACGATTAAAGGTGTCCGAAGCCAAAGCCAAACTTGGCCGGCTGAGGCACCTTGGTTGGGCGCGAGCGGGGATCACCGGTAAGAAAATAATCAGAACCTATCAAAAGGTGGCGATCTTACCGGCCCTTGCTCACGCAGTAGCAGCCTGGAAGGAAGGGCTTGAATCCGCCATGGCGAAGTCTGCTATGTTGCAGGTCACAGCCATGGTTGCGAGGATAGCCCTCCAGGCTCCACGGAACTGCTCCAACGCGGCACTATGTGTCGCGGCTGGCCTCTTGCCAGCAGACTTAGAGCTTAAGACTATCACAGCCGTAAGGCTGTCCGCACTTGGCTGTGCGAGGGCCCTAGACCAAACGCTCATGGTCGAAGGTCTGACTCTAACTGAGAATCACGATAGTCTGGACAAGGTCCAGCACTGGCGGGGTTTGCCAGTCTCACCTTGGCACCCCTGGGTCAAGACTGCCATCCGGGAGAGAGAGGAAGCCAAGAGCTATGCGCAGGCGGCTCTCCTCTCCGGAAATGCCATCTTTGCCGATGGCTCGGTGGTCAAAGACTGTAAGACTGGTGCTGGAATGGTGGTTTATCATAAGGGTGTAGAGATTTATTCCGGCTTCTGGAAGCTCTCCCCTTACGCTACTATTACGAACTGTGAACTCCTCGGAGTTCTCGAAGCAGTCCGCTGGGTTATCTCGACGACGGAAGGCCCTTCCGTCGTCGAGATAACGAGCTTTCCTCTCCTGGAGAGGAAAGCTGGGAAGTGTTCACGGACTCTCAGGCAGTACTCAAAATCCTGTCGTCAAGATCCACGGTGGCTCGGCGGCATGAAGCTAGGCAGATCACTCTGCTTCTAGCTGAAGTCCCGGACAAGGCTACCTTTCATTGGTGTGCCATGACTGATGCTCAACAGGAGGTAGATAGGGGTTAGGGGTTACACAACACGTGATTCCATGGACATTCCATGTTCGTGCGACATTAAGAGAGTAAGTGACCAAGGTATTGGTCAACAATTGGGTACCTGGTCACAGCGGCATGTCTGCCAATGACCGAGCCGATGAATTGGCCGCCAAGAGTGCTTCCATGATGGAAGTCTCAGCTGAGACGGAAATCAGTGTGAAGACCCTTAGGCGCTATCAGGCCGAAGCCGGGCGTCTAGCACTACGCAAATGGTGGTCAGACAAACGGGCCGGTCTGGGGACTTGCGTCAACGACTTCTTTTACTGTGCCTCTCACGCAAGGTTATGGAGTCGAGGGGAAGTCACCTCAGGCTATAAATCCTTGTGAATTTGGCCCGTTGTCTATTTAAGGGGCGGCATATTGGATGGGAATCTAACAGTTTCACGCTCGAGGTAATCAGCGCACGCCCGACCATGAGGAATAATTCCCTTGACAAATCCCAAGGCGGAGTGACGGATTCTGAAAGTGATCACAAAAGACCGGGCAAGAGTCCCATCAGACGCACCATAGGCTTTCATGGCGAGTGGACCGTGTTCTGGGACTGACTATGTCCCATAATGATGGGCACTCTCGATTGCATAACAGATATGTGTTACGGGGGAGTGAACTTGCGTACCTGATATTTTTGTGGCGCGTGAAATTGTCAGTCGTCGCAGTATTTCTAAGGTATATAAGTGAGATTTGCCCTTGAGTCGGTGAGGTTCAGAGGAGAAACTCGGTATTGACAATAGTGTTATCAATACTTGATATATTGCGATGATTACGTTAGATAGTATTATGGATGTTAACACGAACACGTTGAAGAATAAAGACAGCAATCAATCGATCAGCAACAACAACAACAACATAGTAATATATTACC